AGTATTAATGCATTCAACTGTTCTAGAGTGAACCCAACATTTCAGGCCTTTGAGCAATTTGTAAGTTTGTTAAAGGTGGAATCCAAAGGTCATTATGTGATTTAACAATAAAGATTAAAATACATACATACATACATACATACAAATTTAAAAAGTTAATCAAGTGTAATAATGTGGCTGAGTTTTTCTCTCTTCTGCACCAATGCTAGTAAGGGATAAAAACCTTGCTTTATTTGTCAAAAAATGAACCTAAAAATACCAACAAGTGCCAATGCTCATTAAAAAATGGAAGAATAGTATAAAGCAGGGGTCCTCAAACTTTTTAAACAGGGGGCCAGTTTACTGGCCCTCAGACTGTTGGAGGGCTGGACTATAGTTTAAAAAAAAAACTATGAACAAATTCTTATGCACACTGCACATATCTTATTTTGAAGTAAAAAAACAAAACGGGAACAAATACAATATTTGTATTTTCATGTGGCCCACGGGCCGTAGTTTGAGGACCCCTGGTATAAAGTCTGAGAAAGTTACTGTTTTCAAAATAAAATAAAATAGGTGACTTCAAGAGTTGAAATGGGTTAATACTTAAGGTGTGATGGGCACAACCACAAGTATCACATTAAATTGAGAAACAAAATATCAATCCTTTAAAAAAAGTGACCCATGAAATTTGTGTTCTATCTAGCAAGGGTCCTCACCAGTGGGGAAAAATGGTTGATCAAAATGAGCTTTAAAATTTCAGCAGATGTTCAAAAAATGGCAATTTGTGCAGATGAAATAAATTTTTATATAATGTGCATGGAATCATAGAGGTTTGAAGAGATCATATAAACATTTTTTGATTACATTTTCTTACATTTAAAGGATAAGTGCTATGATAAAATTCAAGGTTTGAGAGATTTCCAATGTCAATAATCTGCTATATAATGAATGTTCACTATCTTATTGCGGTTATCATTTCACAAAATATGCATATATCAAATCATGTTATATACCTAAAACTAATACCAGGTTATATGTTGATTATATCTTAATTCTCATCATCATATACGGGAAAGAGAAAGGCTTTGCAGAAAAGTCACTCTGCCTCTTACATTTGTATCCTGAGAAAGCTATTTATCTTCTTTGTGCATATTTCTTTCTTTTTTTTTTTTTTTAAGAGAGGAAGGGAGAGGGAGAGATAGACATATCAATGATGAGAGAGAATCATTGACCGGCTGCCTCCTGCATGTCCCCTACTGGGTGGGGATCAAGCCCACAACTCCAACATGTGCCCTGACAGAGAATCGAACCGTGACCTTCTGGTTCAGGGTTGATACTCAACCACTGACCCACACCCTCTGGATTGTGCATCTGTTTCTTTATGCACTTAATGAAGATAATAAAATCTACCTGATAATTTTTTTGTAAGAACTAGGTAAATTGTAAGAAGCAGATCAGCTCATTTTATGTACTCAAATTCCTAGATGCTCTTTAAATTTCTACCTGACAATTATTTTTGGAAGATCCCCCAAAACACTTCACTAAGATATTGTAGAAATTCACTAATGTAAATAAAAGCACCCACCAAAAATAATGGACATATAATGAACACTCGAAAAAGTTTAGATGCCTTCCAACCTTTCCCTTCTATGTCTTAAGAGGCACCTTCCTCAATCCAAAATAACTCTTTCTTCTCTTTGAACTTTATAACTCAGATTATAGCTTTGCTTTTTTATTGAAGTCCTTCCTTTTATATATTTCTTTGTGATGACCTAGTATCTTTTATATATATACTAGATGCCCGGTGCATGAAATTCGTGCACGGGTATGATCCCTAGTCCTGGCTGGTGATCAAAGTGCAAGCATCTACTGTGGAAGGGCAAATCCCAGCTGACCTCTGGGCCCTGGGCAGCACCTGGGCCCCTGGGCCTTTGCCTGTCCCCCTCTGCCTAAGTCACCAAGCTTGAGTCCCCACGCCGAGATGTGGTGAGAGCAGCCAGACACCACAGATTGGGGCGCAGCGTGGGCCTCTGGGCTGCCCTGCGGTGCCGCACAGAAGCCGAGCAGGCAATGTGTGCTCACCCAGCCAGCCTCACAGACCTGCTCCTGCGTAAACCCACAGAGAGCCCAACCAGCCCCTGTGGTACCAGCAGCTGTGGCACAGCTCGCCCAAAGGAGACCGCGTGGGTGGGGGGTGAGCTCCTCGTGGCCGCCTGGCACCTGAGCACAGGGGGGGGCTTCCCTGGCACATGAGCCCTGGCATCCCCAGGGAGGGTAGTAGGGGGAGGGAGAGCAAGCTCGGCGGATACCCCACATTCTCACTGCACCTCCGTCCTGTCACCCCCGCCCCCAGATAGCCAGAGAGAGGTTGCAGTGCATTGCCAACGCCTACCATGTTCTGCGCCACCCCCTGTGGTCAGCTCACATCATAGCAAGCAATTGAACTCCTGGTTAAGGGGACAATTTGCATATTAGACTTTTATTATATAGGATTTTTCTAACACTTGAGGTATTATAATTATTCTCTTACATGCCTATCAGTTCCCTACCCGAGGCTGCCTCAAACTCTACAAAGAAAGAAAACCTCTGCTTTCAACTCAATGACTGAAACAGCTACGTGAATAGGCATTTATATTTATATATATATATAAATCTAGTCAAGTATGATTTATTTTCAAGAAATTTATTTAAAAAAACAATATGAAAGCCAGATAGAACCAGCATTACAAATTGCCCATTATAATTAAAGTAAAACTCAGTTACTAATAAGTTCTCTAACTTTGAAATGTGCAACAGCTTATATAACTCCAGTGAATTATGCCAGTTCTAATACATGAATTGTTCTTTAAAGCACTAAGCAACAGAGGCTTATTTGGCATTAACAGTTTCAGATCACTTGAGGACAATTTATTGTATTTGAGAATAATTTACTTAATAGCACCCATGTGGCCCAAAGTGTTAATATGCCTCCCAGAGTGTTAACTGTTACAATAGCAACACTATACTGGGACCATCTGGATCCCTGAATTGATGTGCAATCCTTCATTATGTAGCCCTCAGCGGCCCCATTGACCTTTACAGACACACACATCCGTTTCAAGATCAAAGTGAATTATTCTACAGTAGCATGGATTCTGTGCACATAAGCCTGCTCAAAGTGTTCTTTCTCCTCTCTGCTTTAGCTATTCCCCTTATACACACACCACATACACACACACTTACATTATGGCTTCAAACTTTTCAAAACCTGAAGGCAGGTCATTGGAGTGACGGTTGGCAGAATTCACTTTTAATTAGCAGAGTTCACAGCCATGTTTTTGATCAATTGCTCAGCTGGGCAGATTCCCTATGCGACCTTGGGACCCACATTCAAATATTCAGTCTCTATGTTTTCTTGATCATGCAAAGGTATTTACCTAAATTTTTATTGTTAAGTAATTCCCTGTAAATTTCCTGAGGTTACCTAGAGTCAGAAACGTAGTAAATTGTGTGACCTCCACAGGTGTACCTCTGATCCCCCAGCTTCATTCAGCTATACCCACACTATTTTCACCTGACCTGAGGGTTAATACCCTATCCATAGGGCTAATAGGTGTTCACTGACCTTCTGATCAGTAGTTACTTGGGATCACAGAAGTCGTTTACAGAGTATCTGGAATGAGCAAATCTAAAAGTTGTCACGGCCGGGGAGAGAGGACAGGGTAGAAGATGCTAAATAGAAAGTAACAACCCTACCGCACTCACACAAATATCAGGGCGTTACATTATCTCAGAAGTGAAATGATAAATCTGTGCTGTGTTCACCAAAAAAAAAAAAAAAAAAAACCCTACGATTTTAAAATGCATAACCCAATTGTGCATGTTTGAACGGCTTTGAAGGGATCAGAGGGCTTGCTGAACTGCTATGATAAACATCCCACCTCATTAGTTCTGACACTACATGTGAGTCCAGGGGGTGAGAAAGTGAGAGCAATGTGATAGGGTGAGCAGTCCACAAGCAAATGTGTGAGGATGTGCAGCCGCTTTCCTACACACACAGCCCCACGCATGTCCATACCGCAGCCCGCTGTGGAGAGCTCGTCGCTTCCATTCGGACAGTCCCGCTCACCGTCACACAGCCAGTGTCGCGGCACACAGGCGTGGGAGCCCTGGCAACTGAACATGTCGGCCGCACAGGTGATGGCACCTGAAACCCAAAGGAAAGACGCATGAAGGTCACTGCGTGTCTGCTGGAAAAAGTCTACCATTGACATTCCCTATAGAAAGAAGGGAGGCAGACAAAAGAGACTGAAGTTACTTGGAATCATCAAATAGTATCCTTCTCCTATAGATGTTTACACATTTCCCTCTCAAAATGCATTCCTTTATAACTTCAGTTATATCTATGAAAGCTACCTGGCTGAAAATAATGATATTTTCTCTTTGTAAAATATAGCAAAGCACAGAAATGTCACAGAATTTTGAATAAACTGAAAAAGAAATGTTTAAAAGAACTGAACATATCAGGATTTGCACTTAACATAATAACTCATTTAATACTCACAACAACCCCAAATAGTGGAATTGCTATTAATCTCATTTCACAGAAAAGGAAATTGCAAACCTAAGCACCTTGTCTTAACCACTTCTGCCATTATTGTTATCCCCACTCTGTGTTGTTGAAAAGAATAAATGTATGCATATTCTCTTTGTTTTTACACACTTGATAAACAGAACCTATATTTTCTCTGCTTTATCAATTTAATGTTCCTTTATTTGAATGATGTTGTTTTTCAAATATACACTGCAAAAGAAATAAATGCTTATTGACTTATAAATTCAAAAAGTCAAAAATGCTTCCTCTTCGTTCCTCCTTACATGGGCATAGGGTAAGCATAAAAGAAAAATTAGAAAATGATTCTTTCTCAGGATGTTTCCTTAGCCCCAAGTATAGCTATACATATTGAATGGCACCTTTGTTTGTTATTTACTAGTATATAAAAACTAGAAGCCCAGTGCAGAAAATCGTGCATGGGTACGGTCCCTAGGCCTGGACAGCAATCAGAGCCGATTGGGGCCGATCGGGGCTTTCCGGCTGCCAGCTACCAGCTGGTGCCTTCCTTCCCCTACTGCGGGCTGCCAGCCAGGGCCTTCCTTCATTCCGCACTGCCCCCTGGTGGTCAGCGCACGTCACAGCAAGCGATCGAACTCCTGAGGGGACAATCTGCATATTAGTCTTTTATATATATATCGATTTTGTTGAGTCAATTATTAATTGGATCCTCAAATCCAACTATTCTTTAATTTCATTTTTCTTGTGACCAAAAGCTGCCCATAAAAAAGATTCTAAAAATCATAGTGTTAAGATTATTCAGAAAACATTAATATTCCCAGGAAGAAAAAGACTGAGTAGATTGAGTAAAGATATTTGTTTCCAAACATTTAAGCAATAATCAACATGGATTATTGGATTATCAATATCATCTTCTGGGCCACAGAGTTATTAGGAGCATAAATGCCATTGCTTTCAATGCCATGTTGTAATATGAGGGGGCAGCAGGGTGAGAAAACAGAACCCCCTAGTGACCTTTTCCAACATAAATAGGCCTTGCCTTGACATATACTTTAGTTTGGAGAACAGGATGGCAAATGACTTCTGAAAAGTCCCCCAGATAATTCAAATTTGCTCATTTGATTGAGGATAAGTGTTAACAGAATGAAGTTTAATATGATATCTATTACTGGAGAAAATAATAAAAACTATTAAATAAATGTTGCTGTCATTTAAAAATGAATTTACCTCCTACCTGTTATGTCGTTAGTACCTTTGAAAATGAAATTATCTTCCTACAGAATTTATTTTTATATTATTTATTCTTCTTATCTATCTTCTCAAGCTTGCCATAAGAACATAGTGTAACTTTCACTATTATACTCTCAATTTGTGCTCTAATTTCTATAATATTTTTGTTATTAAGCTTGAGATTTAAAAATGAACTTTTTTCTGCTTCTGGCCTACGTTTTTATTATTATCCTAATTTATTCTCAAGGTAGGCATAATAGACATAGCATTGATTTGGCTGTTGGGAAATTTAATTCTGTCTGACCTTGGAGAAGACTGGCATCTGAATTTCACTGTCTGCAAAATGTAGGTTATGACTACATAATTAGTCAGATACCTCAAACTATGAAATGGCATAAGGCTTCATGCAGCTAATTTTCTGGCTCCCTTGATACTGTTCAACAGTTTTTATGTTAAGAGCATGTCAAAACATCATAGTCAATTGGAAAGAAAATGTCCCAAAGAAAAAAACCCATGGCTTCATTCCTCAGTTACCACTCATCCGAAGACACACTGACTTCCTCAGGGATATGAATCCCCAGGGAGAAGGAAGACAAGCTGAAGGAACTCCACCAGATCCATCCTGTGCACATATGCAGATACAAGGTTTGATTGGTAAGAGTTACTCTCTTATTTAGTAAGTATTTCAAAAATCTGAATTCTGTTCCTAGCTCTGTCATCTCTGATCCTCTGAGACCTCGGCAAATATATTAACCTCTGTGAGTTTCTCTTTTTTTATGATCAAATGATGGAAAGGGACTACACTATGATTTCCAAATAGGATCCTCAGATCTTTGCTTAAGGAAGATTGTGTTTACAGCCCTCATTAGAATATTTGGAGATGGGGATTAAGAATCGACATTTCAACACACTCTGAGAAGGACATTTTGTGCACTCAAGGTTGAGAACCACTGAGATAAACTACTTATAAAGTTCCTTTCCAATCCTAAAATATTAGGTTTGGATCATTGGCTGATGTTTGGTCTAAAACAGTAATTTTTATTTGTCACCAGCTTGGTGGTTAGTATACAAAATTCAGTCTGTAATTAAATTAAATTGACTGGGTGTTTTGAAAACAGGTAAACATGTCCTTTACGATTTTAATCTTTTAAAAAATATTCTCAGGACACTGATAGATATAGGCATAATGATATCAATGGACACAGCAATAATATTGCCAGTGACAATAATGATAGATGTGAAAATAACTCTGAAAAATAAAGGAGGAAGCAGAAGAAATATAACAAGAGAGAAGGGAACAAATTCATTTATATAGTACACACTTGTCATGTTAGTTAATCACAAGAGTGACAAAAAGATAGATCATTTTGTACCCACTTAATAGGTAAGGCATTTGAGAAATAAGGAATAAAATGGACCTGTGCCCATGATCACAGAGCTGAAATTCAACACTGTATGACTTTAGGTAATTTATCCATTTTGTTACACAGTGCCCAGTCAGAAAAAAAAATAGAGCTATCAATGGAGCCATTTAAGGTAGGGTTAAACAGAGAGTACACAATATTATTGTAAAGACTGGGGACTTGCTCAAACCATTGTAAGGAACTAATTTTTCTGTTGAAATTAAAGAAAGATTTAATAGCAAATAGAAACAAAGTAGTTAAAAGGCAATGGCCAGGTGTCTACTTGATTGCTGATTTCTTTTTCTTTTCAGAGCTTTATCATAGCGATCTTTTTATATTTACCTTTATCTGTTGAATAACTAAGTTGTTTCAGCTGTATAAATAAAAAGTAAATTTTGGTTAACTTAAATACAAGAAAATAAAGTGTCTGATTTCAAAGGATAGCTCCAATTTTATGTTATTTCCAGAGAACTTCAGGTTAGCTTGAACATTACAAAATCTTATATACCTGTCTCCATAACCTAAAGAGTGGGCCAGACACCTGACATTTAATAAATTGGTAAGTATACTTAACTCTATTTGTGCGCCTTATTCAATGATTCAGGAGCTTTTCTCTCTAATATGAGGATGAAAGAGCTATGAAATACAGCTTTTATAATGAGTAAAGAGTATCCTATATAATAAAAACAGAGTATGCAAATTGTTGTCGGGGAGTTTGACCAGGGGGGAAGGGAGGGAGTACCCAGCTGGCAGCCGGCAGCCACTAGGGACCCTACCAGTGCAAGGATTTCGTGCACTGGGCCTCTAGTATATCTATAAATACAAACATATATAGAAACAGATCAGAGAGACAGATAGACATAAATAAATTATAAACTGGTCAAGTATAATAAATTCATAGAAATAATATTTCTTCCTTCTTTTTACCCCTTAAGAAATCCAGTTAATTCCATATAAATTATTTGTTAAATGTTTGTGATTCTTTAAAAGTAATTATATTGGCTGTGTAGTTAACATACATTAGTTAAATATAGATGTTAAAACTATACCTCTAATTATACAAAGCTGAATTTTATTTTATTTTATATGAAGGAATAGAAAGTTTTATTTTTTTTTTCCTTTTTATTGAATTTATTGGGGTGACACTAGTTAACAAAACTATACAGGTTTCAGGTGCACAGTACTACAACACATTATATGTACACTGTATTGTGTGTGTGTTTAAGTACATTTCAAAATAACATATAATAGCCACCCTCCTTATTTCCCATTGAAGACAAATCAATAATAATCCTATATAATAAAAGCCTAATATGCTGTGTCCGGTTGTCCAGTCGTCCATTCAACCAATCAAAGAGTAATATGCTAATGATATGCTAAGGCCACTCAACCGCTTGCTATGCTGTGCACTGACCACCAGGGGGCAGACAGTCAACCAGTTGACCAGTTGCTATGATGTGCACTGACCACCAGTGGGCAGATGCTCCGATTGGTAGGTTAGCTTGCTGCTGGGGTCCAGCTGATCAGGACTGAGTGAGACAGGCTGGACACGCTGTGGAGCCCTCCTGCAGTCCCTTCCTGGCCCCAATCGTTCACCGAGGGGGTCCCTCGGCTTGGCCTGTGCCCTCTCGCAATCCAGGACCCCTCGGGGGATGTCGGAGAGCCAGTTTTGGCCCAATCCCACAGGCCAGGTCAGGGACCCCACTGGTGCACAAATTCATGCACTGGGCCTCTAGTGATTACTATAATGCACACACACACATACAAGTAACATGTGTGACTTGTGTGATACAAATTGATATAGTTTTGGAGGGCAAGTTAACAATACATATTAAGAGCCATAAAAATTTGATCATTTGACCCAAATAATTTCAGTTATTGAAATCTATTCCAAAATAGCATTGAAGACTAGAAATAAAATTTACAAATATGTTCACTGTGTCAATATTAAAAAGAAACCTAAACATTGAAGAACAATTGTATATAGAAAAATAGAATAACAGACTGTCATAAAAATAATAAAAACAGATACATATGACTGTATAAACAAATTTAATGCTAAGATAAGTAGAAAACAAGGTCTTATGCGTCCTCTAATATGATAGGACATATGTAACATGCTTCTAAAAATGGAGTGAGAGCACAAAGGAACAGCTCACCACAAATGCTATCACTTTCATCCAGTCCGTCTCCGCAGTCATCCTCTCCATCACACACCCAGTGTTTGGATATGCATTTTTGTGCAGAACAGGCAAATTGGTTCCAAGAACAAGAAGAATCTAGAAAACAAACAAGAATGTCTGTTTTAGGTGCAAACAAAAAAATATATATTTGGGACCATCTTAGGACAAATATGAGAGTAAGGACATTCTTCTCCAGACTTTACTAAAATCAACAATCCTATAATAAACCAAGGCAAATTCCTCTTCTCTGTGACAGCTCTATAATATTTTGACAACAGCTTGCATATTCCCTCTGCGTTTCCATGTTAGCAACATTCTTCCTTCAACGCAGTTCTCACAGGGTATGACTTGGAGCTAGTCATTACGATGGTACTCCCCTACTCCAGGTTGCCATTAAAAAAAATAAGTGTGGTGTGATGAACAGATATAAAATAAATATTCCAGGGGTGGCCTAGTTATTCTTTATAATTTTTAATATATTTTTGAACAATTATAGAAAAATTACATCCTAGGCAAGGTTACAATATGGTGGACACATCAGCATATACCAGTATTTATGTTTTTAAAAATCAGGTGACTGATGGGGTTTTAGCTTGATGGTTAAACATACCTATACATACTTATTATTTTGATGTTTTTGTTTCTCTCCCTTGAGAAATGTTAAGTCTGACTAATAACATCCAAATTCATTGGCAGGGCAGCTGGTATGTTATGACCAAATTATGCATTAGGAATAGTACACTTTATTAATTTCCAAAGCCAGGTTTGTGACTGCTCTCCTCTACCTTCAGCCTGTTCTTCCACTCAGCTTTTTTATCACCATGAAAGATCCAAAAATAAAACCCTCCCAAATTAAAGTCTTCAAAATATAAATTGCTGTAAAAATATTTTTTTTATCTTGACACTATAAAATATTTTCAAAAGTTTTCGTCTTGCCCTTGCCCCAACCCCGCCCCCCTGGTCAGGGCACATTCCACTGGTCAGAGCACATTCAGGAGGCAACTGATCCATGTTTCTCTCTAACATCAATGTTGCTTCTCTCTCTCTCTCTCTCTCTCTCTCTCTCTCTCACCTTTCCTCTGTCTCTCAAATCAATAAAATATATACTGGGGTGGAATAAAAAATAAAACCATACGTTTTATTAAATAAATTTTAAAAATGCTTTCTTACCTTACCAAGTGAAATGAAATGTGTACACACAGAAATTAAACGGTAGGTGATGAAGGATAAAATCCAGGTTTAAGCATAATATTTAAAGTTATCCACGAAATTAATTGATACATTTAGAATAATAATAGTCAGTTATAGGTAGGAGGAGTATGATAAATAGTGTGAGCTAAATCCTCATTTTTCATATCAGAAAATAAATATATTAGCATCTAAAAGTAATAAGTAAAACAATTAAGGTATAAGTATGTAATTTAAATTGATGGACATAATTAAAAAACAGAAAAGTTTAAAAGAAAAGACTAGAACAGGTGATTGTAATTCTTTGTTTTACGTTTTTATGTTCTATTTAATCTATACCATTTTGTATTATTTAACAAAAATAAAAATTGATGTTAAACCAATTAGCAGTATTTTGAATAAAATACCTAAGTGAAGATCAGTATATAAATAATAATACGGTTTATAAAGTTAAAGCAAGGTATAATGTCTCACTCACCACAGTGTAATTCATCAAGTCCATCTTCACAGTCTTTCTGACCATCACATATCCAGGAATTCAAAATGCATCTTCCACTAGGACAACCAAAATAATTTTCTTCACATTTGTGTTTGTTTTGCACTGTGACAAAATATAGAACGTAGTGTCAAAAATTAATTAATCTTAGACTTCTGAAATATAGGTGATAAATAAATAGAAATCTTAAAACGGAACCAAGATATTCTCTTCAAGAATGTCAAGGTCATGAAAACAAAACAAAACAAACAAAAAAACAAAAAAACCCTGAAAAACTGGCACAGATCAGAGGAAACTAGGAAGATATATTGATCAAATCTAAAGAAAGATTATAATAAGGGAAAAACTATTTATATATAAATAATGTGGAGTTTTAGAAATATATATATATATATATATACATATACATATATATTTAAAATAATGGAAATGAGTATAAAATGAATGAACCTAAGGCTAAATAATCATTTTAGGTGGAAAATATTCTTAATTCCCTAATCATAAAAAACAAATGATATTATAAAAATATGAGTGGATCTTTGCTTACAAAGTGTGGACTTGATATTACTACTGCCCTATAGTTTGAGTATGCTTTAAGAAGATTCAAATAAATTTTCTCTATTTTAAGGAAGAAAAACAAGTTACAATACAATCTCTAAAATTTTTATACCTTGCAGAAATATCATGAAATAAAAAGTATATTAGATTGTGAAATACTATTATTATTATAACCTCTAAGAGTGGATATGCCCAGGTTGCAGGCTTGATCCCCAGTAGGGGGCATTCAGGAGGCAGCCAATAAATGATTCTCTCTCTATCATTAATGTTTCTATTTCTCTCTCTCCCTCTCCCTTCCTCTCTAAAATCAATAAAAATATATTTTTTTAAAAATGGACAAAGGATCTGAATAGACACTTCTCCAAAGAGGACATACAGATGGCCAATATACATATTAAAAGCTGCTCAATGCCACTAATCATCAGAAAAATGCAAATTAAAACCACAATGAGATATCACCTCACATCTGTCAGAAGAGCTATCACCAATAAACCAACAAACAACAAGTGTTGGGGAGGATGTGGAGAAAAGGGAACCCTCATGCCCTGTTGTTGGGGATACAGATTGAGGTAGCTACTGTGGAATGCAGTATAGAGTTACCTCAAAAAATTGAAAATGGAACTGCGTTATGAGCAATTCCACTTCTGGGAATTTTATTCAGAGGAACCCAAAACAGTAATTTGAAATAATATATTTACCCCTAATGTTCATTGAAGCATTATTTACAATAGCCAAGGTTTGGAAGCAGCCCAAGTGTCCATGAGTAGAATGGCCAAAAAAGCTGTGGTACATTTACACAATGGAATATTACTCTGCCGTAAAAAGGGAGAGAATTTTACTCTGCGACAGCATGGATGGACATGAAGAACATTATGCTAACTGTTCTTCAAACAGTTAAAAAGAAACAGGGCTATGTCCTTTTCATGAAAGGCATTTTTCTAAGAATGCAGATGGCACTTTTCAGAGCTTATGTAGGTAAACATGATTAATAGTAAGATTAAATATACCTGTCTAAACTTGGCCCAGTAATGATAACAAGACTTATACTATGCAAAGAGATTGTGTAAGCTGCATCAAACCTTCTAACAAGACAATGCACACTGTATAATAACACTGAGTAGAGCCAGTGGTGAGATATATAGTCTCCCTCTCTTTAATGTATAAATAGTCTTTTCTCAGTATATATTACTTCTATGGAAGCTATAGGTTACACATTTTAAGTTTAATCACTAACTTTAAAAGGCTTAATGGTGAACTAAAAGAGGAAATTAATCCAAATGCAGATTTCTTGAGTGTCATTTTACAATTAATTTTTTAAAAGTGAAGTGGCATGTTTAGAATATTTAAATTGTATTCTTATCATTGAATATTCATAACAAAAATTAAAAAGTTTAGTCTACACAACTAGCTTCCAAATCTTCAAGGCAAAGCCTGTTTTTTGTTTGTTTGTTTGTTTGTTTGTTTGTTTTGCTTTGCTTTGTTTTTCTAGAATTACCTGGGCATTTTAATTCATCTGAATAGTCTCCACAGTCATTGGAGCCATCACATATCCAGGTTGGCAGAATACACAGTGAGGTAGAATTACATCTTATGAACCCTGTGGTTTTCACTCCAAGTTTATAGAAGTGTGTACAGTCTGTGTTATCTACAAGGAGGTAAACAGAAAAATGAACAATACCTCAGAGGCAAAAATTATCAACCTTCTGTGTAGGTCATAGAGACAAGACAAGTTAGCCTAATTGAAGAAGTAAATAAGCAATTATTCTTCACAACAGGGGTTAATTACATATCAATTCCGGACAAGGTTCAGGGAAAAGTAGGACAGTGTTCAATGCAATGCCAAGAGTGTGCAGGCAAGAGCAACAGAACAGGAGCAGACTGTCTTACTGCAGTTCTTCTCATCGGAAGCATCTGCACAATCCACGTTCTGGTTGCACCGCGCTGATCTTGGAATGCAGGTCCCATCTGCACAGCGGAACTCAACAGTGGCACAGGTTGAAACTAGAAAAGCAGGTAAATAAATTAGTTGCTAGAGGAAACAAAATATGACTTCTTGCTTTAACATTTTGATTGTTTTAATTAAATTCATGTAATTTTATTTGGTTTTGCGTTTTTAACTCTGGGAAGTTAAACCTGACCCTTAGCCCCCACCCCCAACCTTGAGTTAGATGCCTCATGGATCCTCCCATGTCACACAATTCTACCTTCTGTTGTGATACTTACAGTACTACACTGCAACTGCCTGTTTATGTATCTGCTCCCTCTCTAAATTGTAAAGTCCAGGAAAATAGGAATTGTGCTTTGTTTACCATGAAAATACCAGTCCAGGACTAAGGCAACCTACAAAAACAATTGAGTGTTGCAGAAAACTCTCTTCCTCCAACTTCAACAGTACACGGTTATGGCACTAAGCAAATGCCTGATTCAGAGCATACAGGGAAATCCAAATCTGGTTGCTAAGAAGTAGAACAGTCCCTGCTATGATAAAGAGAGATGGCCAGGCAGAGACTGAGAGGGAGAAACCACTGAGCAATAGCTTGAGTACTCACAGTACTCAGTACTGCTAGAAAGACATCCATGCTACTCCTTTTCATGGCCGTATTGCTGGAAGCCCATCCACCCTGGCTGCTTGAGGCAGTCCCTGCAGGGATGTTTCAAGGGACCTTGAAATGGAGATGAGAAACGCCCTAGCCTTTGGAATGGAATGGATGGGATTAAGATCAAATAGGATAAATGCAGATGTAAGAGGACAATAGGGGGAGGAACCTGGCTAGGAGAAGACAGGTTGTTTCCCCAGGTGAGGATTTTTATCAGTAAACCCTTTAACTGAGTGTCAGAGGGGTGGTTGGTTGCTTTGATCTTTGCTTGGAGTGACCTCCTTCAGTTACTTCCTTGTAGCTTAGTGGAACAATGGAGTAACCTTTGAATGGAGATGGGAAGCCCCCTGGCCTTTTGTATAGAATGGATAGGTTTGGGACCGGAATAGTATATATACAGATGTTAGATGACAATAAAAAGAGGAACCTGGCTAAGAGGAACCTGGCTATGATGATCACCTGAACACTGCCTCCGTGTCATTCCTTCTCCGCCGACCCCGTCCACACCTTGGGGAACCCCTGGACCCGCTGGGGCTGGACCCCAGCACCATATCAGTAACATTTGGTATAGGAAATATGGATGCCTCAGGCCATGAAACATAAATGTGTTCTTATGTGTCTCTATTTTTGGAAAGTATGGCTTTCCAAGTCCCTGCTAGGCTGAGGTAAAAATCAGTTTCAATATGCTCATGTCATTACATATACTTTGTACAGAATAGCTTATTCTTATTCTTACATTCCTTTCTACTTTGCTTACACATTCATTACCATATAATGGCTTTCGGCAATATGCTGTGAACAGGTGCATGGCATGCTATGTGTGTTCCATTAACTTAGGTGAGATTTTTATTCCAGATTTAAACTTCCACAGGTTGATTATGTTGATGTACAACCTGAAGGGCTCTTTGATTATGCTACTTTTGCTAGTGTTGATACTTTTAAAAGCCTATTTAATTATAAATAGAAATTATATCAATTGCAAATGGTTAAAATGCTATCTTAAAATATGCAAATTTTACTCGAGGGATTGTATGTCATTTGTATTTCATAAAGCACTGCTCTTATTGTGTTTAATTGTCTTGCAATTCTATCATTATTTGTGTTCAATGATAATTAAAATAAATGTTTTATTTACAATTTGCAATTATAATTGCTTCACTGTTTTCTTTATTAAAAATAACTTCTTATCATGTGAAACAATGTTATTATGAGTAGATAAAAATATTGCTCCAAACAGGAAAAAATAGATATTTTTCTTTTATGTCTAAAAAAGCAGGGTCTTTTCCATATTCCGCTCTATAATGTTCCACCTTTAATACTTTTCAATGGAAATAGTAAATAGAATATATGACATGGAAAATAATGATGACAAGCTTTTACATTTGTTTCTGACTTTGCTATCTATCATCAGTCTCCTATTAAGAGGTTGTGTTACAAAAGATTCTCTATAATCCCTTTATGTAGAAGATTGCCGGAAGCCAGTCCATCCTTGCTGCTTGACACAGTAGCTGCAGAAAAGAAACATCTGCACAGCATATGTTTCAAGGGACCTGGCATATATAGCATATTGTTCTTAATATGTTTGCTCTCCTTAAGCGCCATGTGTTTTAACCAAGGTCACCTCTCCGAGAAAGGTTGTTTCCCCAGGTAGGGATTTTTCCCTGAGGTTAGGGAGGGGATACAACCCCTTAATTAAGTGCCAGGCGGGTAGTTAAGCTACATAATCTTTACTCCCTGGAATGGAGATAAGAAACGCCCTAACCTTTGTAATAGAAATTGACAGGATTAAAATCGGCTGGTATAAATATAGATGTAACAAGACAATAAACATCAGATCCTCATCAGATCCTGATGAGATCCTAACCAGAACTTGGCTGGAGATCCTGGCTAGAGGTCCTGGCTAGGCTGCTGATCAACTGAAGGCTGTCTCCGTGTCATTCCTTCTTCACCGACTCCGTCCACACCTTTGGGGACCCCTGGACCTGCTGGGGTTGGACCCCAGCAGAAGACAGAAATAATTTCTCTGTGAAACAATATTTAAGGTAGTGGTAATATCCCTACAAAGCCTACAAAGATCTATCTCCTAGTACACTTGAAGTTCTATCTTTTAGTTAGAGTTTAGGATGCCAGAAAGATCTCAGTGGGAACCATCACAACCCATTATGCCATTTCCATCTCCCTCCAAGCTTCCACAGACAATCCTCTGTGTATGTGACAGGGAATCAAGCTGAGTGGGTCTGGTGGCAGACAGAGTGAAGAGGCAAATTATGACTCACAAACATGGAGGTGGATTTCAGACAAAGAGGCCCGAGATTCAGGGATTTCACAATAATGAAGTTTCAATAACAGTGCCAGGGCTCTCAGGTGGAAGGAAGAGCAAAGAATGACTTTTAAGAAGAGGGAAATGTGGTGCAAGTAGGACACAGTCTTGGGTGGAATTCTGGGAAGGCAAAAGATATAAGGAGAGGAACTCTGACTAGATGAAAAGAAACTATAACTTTGAAGATGAGAAGATTGGTTAGAAAATGGTACTTAAAAGACAGGTACTGAAAAATAGATAAGGTAGGGAGCCAAGAGAACTGAGGAGAGGGTAGAATATTTGCAGGAGTTATTTTTCTCCCCTATTCCCAATCAAAAATAAACTCTGAATCTTGGTGAGGAGGCCCAGGAGTGTGTGCAAATAGGAACAAAACATTATTTTACCTCTAGTACTGTTTCTGCAGCGTCCATGACTTTGTATAGAGTTTGGGAACCACCAGAGAGTTAAATAGGGTGATAAGTGGCAATAGAATTAGACAAATTAAGTGATTGCAGAATTTCATAAGTAGCAAGGGCAAACGCTGGTTCACATCGCCAGCATTTGTAAGCAAGAGAGGCAGTCCTGTGATGGAACAAATCCACGGGAATTACAGAAACTTTATTAAACAAATAAGCAAATGCCTCTTCTTCTCCCCTTCCTCTCTGTTCCCTCAACTGAATTCCTATTTCATGCTGTTTTGATTAGTCAGTCATTGAAATTTGTTTCACCCTTAGGGTGAAGTTTGAGGGAGAAAGATGCTGGAATCACTAATTTGTCAAGTGAGTATGAAAGCTTTCTGGAAAATTTCCTTGGGCTAAAAGTACTGAAAAAGAGAAACAGAAAAAAAAAATAGTCCAAAAATAGATAAGCCAAGTGAGAAATACTAGACTTTACCCTCCAGATAGTCCAAAGAAAAAGTAAGCCTACACACACCAGCACAGCAAGGAGATACTACAAAGGAGATCTGAGAGGGACTGTGTGTGGATCAAAGGAACTGGGTGGGGTAGGGTGAGGGCATGTGTGGGAGGGGTGGGGGGAGGCCAGGGGAAGGTCAATGGGGAAAAAAAGGAGACATATATACTACTATTTGTAATACTTTAAACAATAAAATTGAAAACAAAAAGTAGCAGCAAGAGAGAAGTAACACCACTCTTTTCTCCACATACTTCCTTAATTTTATTATCTTACCCACTTTCTTTTCTCCATGTCAGTTAAAATATTTACTGAGATAGGCAAGGCATAAAATGGATCAGTCTTTTTGTGCTTCTTAGGACACTCCTTACACATAACCTACGTCAACATTTTGTCTCCCAGCACTCCCACCCAGCCTGCAGCACAGGGGGAGGTATATGAGCTGGCAAAGAGAAAGGCACTGCATGTGCTGCTATGTCTCTTCTGTTTACTTTCCCGCCACAGTGTTTATTTAATGTACTGCTTGGCTATAAGTGTATGCAAGCCCAGAGGAACGATGGTTTCTTCTCCAGGCATGCTTATCTTTTTCCTTTAACTTGTTGTTTGTGAAATCTTCAAAGTTTCTTTTTTTTTTATGAACTTTTTTAAAAGCAAACACAAGTTTCCTCTCCTTTAGGTATTATCCTCAGAACCTCTTCGCTCTCCATTCCCCCTGAAGGTGTTCAGGTCGCCCTAGGAAGTTCATGTACGTCCCAAGGGCAGTATTTATATTCATCTCAGGGAAGAAAGGAGAGGAACCGTGTACTCTCCCCGAATGTATTCACTCAACCACTCGCACAACCAGAAAAGGAATACAGAATGACAGATTTTTCTGAACAACTTCTCAGATCCCCCAGACGGCCTGCTGTCTAAAGCTCCCAGTCATGAAACAATAGCTGTAAAGGGACAGGAATAAAAGATTGATGAGGATTCGAGGTTTTGTTTTTCCTCCAAATGAGAAGAAACCAAATATAATTCCTAATAACATCAATTCCACTCTGTAAATAAATGATCTGCTTTATGAAAAAAATAGTAATGTTAAATGCTATTAGCATATAAACTAAACAAACACATGTAATAGTACTTCAAATAATTTGCAGATGATTCCACTGTAGCCTTTCTCTGTAGCCTATCAAAATTTCCCTGGGCAACCTGGTTTTTTATCGTACGAATTTAATTTTTTCCATTTTATTTTATTTACATTAAAAAATAATAGGTGGTTTGTGCATGTCTATGCATACATACAGCAAAGCACGACATCCCGTGTTTCACTGACGACAGAAGCAGAGGAGTGGAAAGTGAATTCTTTTCCATTCTCCCTGAGCCCTTCCATGCTCCTTGTCCTTCACCATCTTTGAGGTGCTGGAAGTATGCATGTGTTTGATAGACATACTAGTATATCTGAATCACTGATCTATAAGGTAACCTGATTTATGGAAAAGGGACCAAGGCAAGTATGTCCCCTGCGGTATAAAATGTGCCCAATAGGGACACCATGTGAACAAACTTAACATGAGAGAAAAGTCAAATCTAAATGATGAAACTGTGATGTTACTTTTCATCTAAAAAATGACCCCTTTATTTCTCTTAAAGGGGCTAGTGCATTTATTTAACTCTATTAACTTTTAGTAGGCAATAATACTTGAGCTTCCATGAGCATTTTTAGTTTCAAATGTCCTACATTATACAGGAAGAATGTCAAGGAATAAGATTTTGTTGCTGTTGTCTTTTAAGATGTCAAATTGTTATAATTTTCCCTATTATTATCACAAAAGAAAAGTTTTGACAGAAACACACAAATGCAGTAGTTCTGTGCCCAAGTATATTGCCGAGAGATAGTTATAACACAGAAATCAGAGTTTAGACTAACAAAGGGAAAATCACACTTGAAGTTATTTTTATTGTTATTCAGCAGCTAGTATTGATGTCATTAGGAACAATAAAACTTATCTTTATATTCTGGAAGATTTATTACTGCAAAGAGCCACATAAGAATTTAATAAACACCTACCATGTACTGGGGGCTGTATTTTATGAACTCAAACACACTAATTTATTTGCCACTTTTGAAAGGAAAATCGTTTTCCAAGAAAACCCACAGCAACTTATTAAATTCTTATGGTTCTTTTATGAATTTTGCTTTAAAATCCACTTTTTGTACTTACTGTTCGTTCCTGCGTATTCTAGCTTGATGTTTGTCCCTTTATCCTGACATAATGTCTTTATTATATTCTCCTCTCCTGCCTGTAAACAGGTTATCCAACAGATCCATCCACCTTCTGGTCTCCAAGCTTCCCATCCTCCTTTTTTCCCAAATGCTTATCCATTTTCCTGTTTTTACTCCCACTATTGTATAGCAATTTATCATTTTTAACTTTTGTAGGTGATATAAAATAATAGTTGACCTAATTTGCAAATGTACTTGGCTCTTCCTATACTATAGTGTCTTAGATGGCAAACTACTCAAATGTTTGACTAAGGTCATAGAGTCTAAGACAACAAAGTAACTTTCCAATCCTTTTCTGCCTACAAAATAATTTGTAAGCAGTCTGCCCTCCTTCCCAATTTTGCATAGCCTTCTTATTACACGTGTACTTCTCAGTTTTTCTTTACCATCAATCTTTTCTAAAAAAGAGTCCATGTTCACTGTTTTTACTTCCTCACCATACATTTTCTGCCACAATTCAATGTGACCTGGCTTTTCCTTACCATCCATTGAACTGACTCTCATGAAGATACCGAAGAGATTTTCTCCGATTTATCATTACAACGGGCACTCCAGTCTACGCCTGCCCTCTTGACCTCTTTGTAACACTTTACAATGGTAACTGATCCTACTTTCTTAAAAAAAAATAATTTCTTATGAAAATCTTCTATAAGTCCTGAGGCCTATACCCTTCCCCCCCTTTTTAATCAACGTCTTTAATTTTAAATTCAACAGGCAATTCTGATGCATTTCCTTAAAACGATCACTCCATACATCCTCTGAGCTTTCTCTCTTTAGTGAGCCCAAAACCAAAGCATCTGGTCTAAATCTACTACCCGAGCTTCAGTTCTGTGCCTCTCTGTGTGCCTTTGGAACAGTTCCTTCACAATGTCTGCAGGTGCTCCTCCCTCGGAATGCAACTATCCTTATTATCTCATCCTGTCCCACCCAAACAAAAGCCCTACAAAAATAAGCTTAAAAAATAACAAAAGCATATACTTTTAAAACAGGCAAATAATTTCACACAATTTCTCTATTCTTTCCCATGATTTCTCTATGTTTATCACCCAAGAAGACTGGTTATTTTGAAGCAGTAAATTCAGTATTACACATTCCGGTAGAAATGACCAGTAAACAGGGATGCAGACCTGAAGAGGTGGTAATGCTCCCTTTGAAAATGCTGTTGCTCTTAGCTTTGGCCTCTATGATAGCCTCCTGTTTTGTCTTTCCTATCTCAGCAGTACAGCTTTCATTCACACAATCACTGCACTTTTTTATTTTTTTAAATGTAAATTTGAATATTTGGGGCCTGCTTTAAACCTTCAGCAACACTCTGGTAACTACAAAATAAAGTTCAATTTCCTTAATATGGCTTAACATGGCATCAAAAAACTTTCATATCTTGCCTTCTTCCTCAAACTTGCCTCATCTTTTTTTACCACTTCCTAATATGCAAACTGGCCTGGTGCTAACCATATCAAACTACTTGCAGTTTTCAATATTAATCACTCTACTCAGAATTCTCTTCTGTCTTGACCATTCCACTGTATTTATAGTTTAAGACAGTTTAAATTTATTTATTTTCTTTTTTAAAGACAGTTTAAATTTAATCTAGTCTGTAAATATTTCAAGATATTTCCAAGCCAAAAGAAATTCTAATATGTACAATCATAGCAATTTATGTACATCTTCATCTTTTTAAATAACCGTCTTTCACTTAGAGTTTAAATTCCTTGAGGACAGGCTCATGACTTATTTAATTTTATGACTCAGTCCTTAATACATTTTACCCAATAATGTGTGTTCAATGAATGCAAAGGTTTTTGAAAGGAAATTAGTTTGCAAACACTGGTTGAGTCCAGCTTTTAGGAGACCTTAAATCTTAAACTAAAAACTTGTCATTGATTCTGCAAACATTGAAACTCAATTTGTGTTTTTTAATCAGGGCAGTGAATTTTTTTAAAGGCAAGTATTTCATAGCATTTTCTAGATGCCAAGTTCTGTTCTAAGTTTATTTATTAATGTAGTCATGTAACTGTCTTCTCTCTCAGTTTAAAAAACTGAGGACAGATTACTTAAGTATTTTATCCAAAGTCACACAGTCACTGTAAGGTCTGGGGTTCTTTCACAGGTAGTCTGGCTTATTGATCTGTCCTGGTTATCACTGTGAGAAAATGTTACATGTGTTAGCATGACTCACAACATTGGGATTCATTAGAAACAGCAGAGGCAGGGAAACTATTAAAAGGGTTTTACTCTGTTAATCCAGGCTCAAAGTAGATTGAAAGGGAAACTATTGCCAAGAATTGGAAGGTTTGTTGATGATTGGACATGTGGGTGATAAAATACGGTGGGAAGAGGAATCAAAGGTAATACCAAGGTTTCCTGTCCAGTCATTAAGAAAATGATGAGTTCATGTGTAAAACAGAATTAAGAAATAAAACGGAACATTTTGGAGCAGTAAATTTAGTATTACACATTCTGGTAGAAATGTCCAATAAACAAAGATGCAGACCTAAAGAGGTGAGAGGTAACAAGAGTTTTAAAGTGAGCAAAGGAATAGAAACCAGAAACTGAGAATATAGTCATGATTTTCAATTAATTCTAATAACTCCCCTCCAACAGCGTGGTCCATAGATGTTAGTACGTGTTACACACCAAATGGGTAAAACCATAGTGCTCTAAAGAATAAACTTCAGAAAAGTTCTAGAAGCAATTAATGTAATAATAGATAGGCTGATGCAACATATATTTACCTTTACAATCCAATTCATCAGAGCTGTCTCCACAGTCGTTTTCACCATCACATAACTTGCCATGAGGAATGCAGCGACGATTGTAGCAGGGCTTGAAACCTCTTCGACAACTTCTGTTTTCTTAAGAATAAAAATAGAAACACATAATTGAAGGTCTTATAGAAAAACTTTTACAGAAAGAAAACCATCAATGAGATCTCACTCATAATGACTGGATTGTGGATCTATAAAATAAGTGCCGAGCAGTGTCGAAGATTTGGATTAGAATATTCATGCGTTATCAAGTAGTTCATTCAGTAAAGAGCCTTTTTGATGAAGTATCTTAGCTGCAATGATTCATACTTGAAGATCTCTTAAAATTATACCCTCATTATTGTTTCTGGCATCAGTCAGCACAGAAATAAACAAATGCCACATATTTTGAATAAATAAATCTCTACCTCTAAAGCAATAAAGACATTCTGACACCTATTTCCTATCTACTTTGCATCCTGCAAGGATTTTATAACAAGAAACAAAAAGTAGCAAAACATATATTCCTGAATCACTGAATCCAAGTCACCTAACTATCCATAAATTTCTCTTAAAGATCATCTAAAACTGTCTACCAGAATTTCCTAAGAAGAACTGCCTCCTGAATTTTATTTACTTTAATGAGAGTGTCCTGATTTGGGGGAGAAGGTAACACTTAATAATAGTAGCTGCCACTTACTGCATACTAATTTTGCACCAGGCTCTATATTGAACATATGTAAATATATATTTCTTTACTTAATGCTCTCAATTAGAGCTAAGTTTGTTTTGTAGCAGGAAACTAAAATACAGAGAAGTAATACACGTGCTCACACTAGTCACACCCCAGGAGGTTTGGGAACAAAGATGCAACCTTGGGTATGATTCCAAAGCTTGGAATCTGTATCTGGTGTTGTCAAACTATATAGCCCAAAGGACAATGAAGTCCATCAGCTTGTTTTCTTATGACTCTGCAGCTAAGAAAAGTTTTTACACTTAGAAAGGATTGCAAATTATTTTTTTTAAAATAGAGCACATGTGGCAGAGAGCATATACGTCCCACAAAGCTGGCCCTTAAAAAAAAAAGTTTGCTAATTTCTGGCTTCTAAGATGAAAATAATGTAAAAATACATTCTCAAGCTAATTAGTGGAAATTTTTAAGCTGATTATTATTATATTTGATAAGCTTTAATATTTTCATAGTGTATAAGATATGGCTATTCATTCAAGCAAATATGTCATTTGAGGCAAATTACCTAATATTTTAGTTACAGATTAATCATGGAAAAATTACATTTGACTATCATTTTCACTGATGGTATGTTACTCCGTAATGTAAAAGTGTGAAAGAACTGCCTGTGAATTTAGCAAGCTCCATCTCCCTCTTGTTTTAACATTACGTTGAATATTTAGGTAAGTTTATTACCCAAATAATATAACAAAGCAGAAAAGTAGAAACCAAATATTGCAATTCCAGATATCGATTCCTAAATTTTACAGAGCATACAACACCAATAGTATTATATTGTAGCACAGAAACAGGTCAATTTAGAAATAATCTGAATCAATTCTATAATAACTATGCATGATTGAACAGACACAAATTTCCAGGAAAAACATTGCTGCAATGAAGGCAAATATCAATTGTTTACTAGAGTCAAAAAGCCAATCTCTGCTCCCAAGGGTGAGGGAAAGGCTGACTATTAATTGGTGTCACCTACAGAGGCACAGAACTCCATGCTCGATGGAGACCGTGGCTAAAGCAATTAGCCTTTGCACCTAAGAACACTAGCCCTGGGTCAGTCCTGGAGGCAAAAATAAAATGGACAAGACTTTGATATAAACCAACATGCTATTGACTGATGATGGACCTTTGCTCAAATTTAAACTGCAATATTCACCAATAACTGATATTTCTAATACACACTTTGAAGAATGTGAACCTGGGACCTACTGCTAAAGATGAGTAACAAGAGAGCTCCAAAGACAGGCTGCAGCCATATTTAAATTTTCTCTTCATGATGGAAAACCATGAGAACAGTCTTTAATGAATACCATGGCTAATTAATGGACAGGAAATAAGGTGTTCCAAACCATGAGAACAGTCTTTAATGAATACCATGGCTAATGGACAGGAAATAAGGTGTTCCGGGTGAACCAGGGCAAAGCCAAGTCACTTGCCTTAGATCTACATGTTAAAGAGACACATGAAGAAAATCACACATATAAACCGAATGGGGACAACCAACAAAAACGTATAGAAACAATTCCAAACTTCTCTCTGAAAGAACAAATCACCTATTGGACACTCACCACAGTAGAGCAGTTTTTCATCGGATTTATCCTTACAATGAGGAATGCCATCACAGGTGAGTTGGTAGTCAATACACTCTCCATTTCCACATTCAAACTCTGAATAAATGTTGCAAGAGGAATTTTTAGCTGAAAGGAAAAAAAAAATCAAGGTTTTTTGTAATGGCAAATGTTGTAATGGCAAATTGTTAACACCGTAACAATTGTTTTCCTTAATCTTAATTATAAAAATAAACTAAAATTGATCTTAATATAAAAGTAAGGTAAAAGACAATGGTTCATGCTGTTTCTTTATTTAAAAAAATAAAAAGCACACTTTGGGGTTATTTTTCTTTCCCTGTCTTTGTATATTTTTTGGAAGTTGCCTGACTTTTTTTGCTTTTATGCCTATTTGTATATTTTGTTAATTATTTGGTGACTGTACATAAATAGAGAGGAGAGACTTAAATGTGGATGACTATATTTATGCATTTTGGTTAGCAGTCTAACCTAAAAATAAATTTTTAAAGAGAGACAGTTAAATGCTCTCTGTATGTACTGAGAATGTTTTTTTGTGTTTTCTTATTGGACTCTACCATATATGACTCTACCATATATTCTTCAGCACATTGAAATTTTCTAGTCCATAGAATTCTTATTTTTGAATGCTTAACTTGATTCATCTGACTTCAATCTCACCTAAAACTGGTTTTCCTTCCCAACTAACTTCAGAAGAAATCCCTGGAGCAGCTCTATCACTCAGAAGTACTGAAATGGCTAAAACTACTCTCATCAGCCACTTTCTCTATCCCTGGTGGGACCAGGGAGCAGGCCGTCCCTTCCTGCCACGTAGGACCAGCACCTGCTCCATGAAATGCACCGAATTCTGTGGGATGAGCTGGACAAGGATAACTTACAAACATGTGCTCCGGATGCTTAAGGGATCCAACTGACCACTGTCATATTGTCCCGCTTCTTAATCTCAAGATTTTTCTTATAAATTAAAAGTCTGAGTTTTTATGTCGTTTGCCCAATTTGGGAGCATAGGCCAACAGGCACAAAGAACAAAATTAAAACTTTCTACAGCTAGTTTTCATCCTTGTAATGCCAGTATCTGGTCCCCGTTTTAGAAAGATCTCTCATATGGAAAATAGACTTATATTTATTCTTAAAAATGGATTTAATGGCCAATTTTAGAAATCCAATTTTTTTATTGTATTATGTGCTGCTTGCTTGCTTGTACTCACTCAACTACTTGTTGAATAACTGTACAGTGTAATCCAGTCATACTAATTATGTTGGAAGCAATTCAAATTTATTTATCTCTACCAATACAGGAAACTTAATTTAATTTTACAATTTTCTGTCAATTTCTTTTTAAGCTTTATTTCAGGAATATTCCATTAAACAGCCACTAATACTCTTTGATGTTTCCAGAGTCTTATTTCATTATTCTTAGAATTTAATTAACTTAAACAGAATATCTACCTATCTCTTTATCTATCTACCTATCTATCATGTCTTATTGAATTCTTTTAATAATAGTGACTCCCTCTAAATATAGTTTCTTTTTTTTTCCTTGGTGAAGTCTAAACCTCACTGGTCAGTAGATAAAATAGATTGCCACTTTAGAGAAAGTAACAAAGAATGGAAAATCTATAAATATTATTAATTCAAAGGAACAAGTGTTAAGAAGGGTATCAACATTGCTATATACAATCACTGTAGACCACGAACTAAACGAAATTCAGCCACTTACCCAGCTTATTTAGTCTATTTTAAATGCACCCTATTTAATATCTCATTTCCAATGACAACTATTATGATGGAAAATGGCAACTTTACTTTTAAAATAATTATTCCATTGCCAGGCTGGCATGGCTCAGCGGTTGAGCATCGACCTATGAACCAGGAGGTCACAGTTTGATTCCCGGTCAAGGCACATGCCCGGGGTATGGTGTGCAGGAGGCAGTTGATCAATGATTCTCTCTCATCATTGATGTTTCCTTTCTCTCTCTCTCTCTCTCTCTCTCTCTCTCTCTCTTCCTCTCTCCCTCTCTCTTCCTCTCTCCCTCTCTCTTCCTCTCTGAAAGCAATACAAATATTTTTAAAAATTAAAAATAATTATTTCTTTGAGGAGAGAAACAAAAATTCTTCACCATAAGTATAATTTTATGATGCAAAAGCAAACACTGTACAATTCATGCATATCTTCATTTGATGAAAAAGGATTGAGTATTTTCTCTGTCTTTCTAGAAACAAAAATATGGTTCTGTTTTCTTTTAATTCTTTTACTTTATCTAATTAAATTTACTATTCTTATTTCTATTATGGGTATTGATAAGTTTAGCAATGTTGTTTAAAATGGAATTACCTAAACTTTTTGTCAAGTGTTATGACAACAGATAATTTTCCCTCCTTTGCCCTCAGGGAGGGGTTAATAAATGGCCTTTCACAGCTTCAACACTGGCATTAACATTCACGAACTGCTCTGGGTGAATTAATTCAGAAGAGGACATAGATATGCCAGAAACATTCTCATTTCCCAAAGATAAATTTTACAGGAAGTAGCCAAGAATTACTTTCCAATCTTTCTGCTGAACCGCAGGATTTCAATATGAATGCCCAAAGGATACAGGATGCTTTTATAAAGGTTTGTCACCTCTGTGGAATCCACCATCACTTTATAGTTTCATGTGAATAAACTGCAATTGTTTAAAATGATAGTTTTCTGTCTGATTCATGCCCTCTCATCAATCGGGAGAAACAGGTGGCTTAGTAGAGACAGATGTATCTAATCTATTTTGCAGCAAGGATAAGCATCCACTGTATACAAATAAGCCTTGTTGTTATGACCAAAGGCATTGCTTCACTACTGGCCTGTGGTGACCTGTGAACGGAACATCAGTGATTCTAACGCATGGCTAACACTCCAGGTTTACAGATGGCATCAGATCCAGACCATTGCAGCTGAAGCCACAAAGGCAAACTGAAAGAGATGGTTTAAGCAATTGCCTAAGCAATTCAGGAAAATTATAGTTGATGAAGAAGTGTGGGGATTTGTGGCCCGAATTATTGAAATTGGCTATCTTCATTTAAAGTTCCCTGACCAATTGCATCTTTCCCTCATTTGCTTTGGCACAGTTTATTTATTTATTTTTAATTATTTTAGTTACTTGGCTAAGAGGTATCCTTTTGGGTTGTGTTACCAATTTGCAAAGTGAGGAGATATGTTGAAGTTCTTGTATTAGGTGCAGTGATTTCTAAGGTAAACAAAATGATGTCAAAGTCCTTGTATTAAAGAGTAGCTAAAGGATCCTTCTGGGAAAATCCAACATAAGACTGAAGATGAAGATAAAAAATACTTATAGTCTCTGATTTTATTTTTATAATGTAGACACAACCAGCTCTGCTGAAATTCTAATATGAAAAAAAAATATGAGATGAGGATATAATTAGAGAAAATATGTCAAATATTGAAACATCCTGAGAGTGAGTTCACCAGTTTCCAATAAGATGCTTCTTTCTCATCTGTCTTATAAACAGGGTGTCTCAATGTTAAAGAGGAATTAACCTGTTTTATGTTGCTGGCTAATTTTTCATGGCAACATTGGGATAGTTGAACCCTTATTTATTTTAGAAACAATTTTTTAAACTTAGCTGTTAATAAGTGTATAATGTAATGGTACCAATTACAGATTTTAATGCGTTTGGGAGGTATAAACATGATGCAAGGTTGAAATGCTACATTCTTAATTAACAGGTTGGAAATGATTACAAATAAGTCACATGAGCCATTCTCTCTCATTTACATACTGGGACAGACTGTGAGCGGTTTTACTACAAGGCCACAATACCAGCCTGCATACCAATTTATTTCAACTTTAACTAATTTTGCTGTTGATGAATTTTCAAAGTCATACGTTTTCATATGATCACTGTGTACAGGTATTTCTCTAGCTAGCACCAAATCTTCCCGTCCACAATCAGTGACACCATTTGTGACTCTTTGGGTTAACATTATCTATCACATATTGCTATAGCAAAGTAGAATGCTGAATTGAGTTTTTCCTAGAATATACAGATAAGCCAATGGGGCCTTGACTATTGGAGGAGAGTAAAACTTCAAGAATATAGTCAAACATGCCAATGTCCATGTGTGCTGTTTTGAGCAGTATGTCATATTGCATTTGGAATCTCTTTACTTACTCACACATCGGTTGTCATCTACCAATATTCGATCTCCCCTGCAGGAGCAATTCACTCTCCCATTAGGAGTTAAAAGGCACAGGTCATGGCAACCTCCATTCAGTAGCGCACACGGAGAAAGTTCACCTGCAATGAGGAAGCTTTATTGGTAACGTTATTTTGATTTCCTATTCTATGTTAGCTGTAGATTAACAGTGAACTGTTAGACTGCCTCAATCTCTTTTAAAAATCTCATAAACAAAAAAGATTCAGGACTTTTGAAAATCCAAAAACCTCAAAAGATAAGAACATGAGAAAAATATGTAACAGGGATACTACACTAACACATTTATCAAGGATGCAATAGCACCAAATGCACTAATACTACTAGAGACCACACAAATACTACAAACAGCAATTTTGCAGATATTCCAGTAATTTAAAAAAAATTAAGCCCAGATGCAAAGCTTGTTTATTACAGGGAAGCAAGTTGATTTGAGAGTTCAAAGACATGAGGAGTGAGAGAGAATGGAATAGAATTCCAGAAACACTAATTTAAAATGAATTGTTCCTTTGGTGATAAATTAAGAACCACAGACATTTTAACTTACATCTTTTGGACAATTTCTATATTTGGAAATGTCAAATCCTGAACACTATCCCGAGGAAATTTAACAAAATGAAATCCAACTAAGTATTACTAAAATACATAGAGACACACAAGCGAAAAGGCAGGAAGTCTCATGCAAGGTCACCATGAGCACTTCCAGCTGTTTTAGTGCCATTAGAATGATATATTTGATTATCGTGGTTTAAAAAAAAAGCACATAGAGAAATGTTTGAGAGAGTATATAATTAAGAAATAAATTTGCTTTCTTTGTAACTTACAGCTATTGGTGTCATTGGCAACGGCTATGATTCCCATAGGCTGATGTGGAATGTCAGAACGGAGAATTTTTGTGTCTCCTCCAGTGTACTTGTTGGAACGCAGGATAGCTCTTCTTCCCCAGTCTGACCAAAAGATGTAATTGTCATAAACAGCCAAACTGAGGAAAGTCCCTGGCCCCGATTTTACAATCACCTAAAATAAGTTAAAATATATATTTGTAATATGGAGATAAACATATTCCTATATTCACATCTATTTTTGTGTCAAAAATAAGGGATTATGATTACTTATATTTAATCAATGGAAATCATCAGACAAAAATGCATTTTACTAGGTGTACTATTATAATATTCTTTGTAGTTTATTTAAATGTTTTAATTATCCTTACCTTTTTTCAATGTGTTTACTGAATATTTTTAGTATATCTCTATTTACTACTAAGCTAATATGCAAAAGAGATGGAAAAAAAAATCAATGACTTCAGCTTTCACTCTAAGACACTAAAAGAAAAAAAGTTAGACCCAAAGTAAAAGAAAAAAAAACACTTAAGAATAAAAGATAAATTAAGGAAAAATAAAACAAAAAATAAATTAATTAATTAATACAACTTTAAAAATGGTTATTTGAGAACAATACAATGGATAACACATAATGATGCAGTGTGAATTATCCCAGGAATAAAGATTTATTTAGCATTTTAAAAGTCTATTGCTGTAATTTAACATTTAACAGCTAAAACAGGAAAACTCATATGAAGATCTCAATAAAGGCAGATAAATTATTTTATAGGATCTAACATCCATCTATATATATAAAAGCCTAAGTGACCGTTATGAGGGAACTAACAGAATGACCAGTCACTATGACATGCACTGACCACCAGGGGGCAGATGCTCAATGCAGGAGCTTCCCCCCAGCCCGCAGGCTGCGATTGGCAATGGGGCCTGCCAGCCAACCTCCCAAACCCTTCCCCCAGCTGGCAGGCCCTGATCGCCCAATTGTGGCCGGGCCCTCGGGCTGGAACGGGGAACTGGGGGTTGGTGGCAGCGGACATGGCCCCTTTCTCAGGGGGGCTGAGGGCCGGCTCCCTCTTCAGTGCCTGCCGGCCAACCTCCCAGTCCCTTCCCTTGGCCAACTGATCCTGATCACCTGATCCCCGGGCTGGGATGGGGAACCAGGGGTGACTGGTGGCTGATGCAGCTGGCGAGGGAAGGAGGGGGGCAGGGGGAAGGTGGGGAACCACACAGTGGAGACTAGGAAAGGAGGAGGAGGGGAGTGGCGGCGTGCAGGTGGCAAGGGAAGGAGGAGGCGGAGAGGCGGGGAACATGATCGGCCCTGATCGTGCAGCAGGCTTCTAGTTCTTAATAAAAACTCAGAAAATAAATAAAATTAGAAATAAGAAATAATCACTCTTACTAATCTAATCAACATTGTCCTACAGTTCCTAGTCAGTATACTAAGAAAAGAAAGCAAAAACAAATGCATCCAGATTAGGGGAAAATGTCAAATTATACTTATTTGCAAGTGACATAATCCTCTTCATAAAAAAAATATCCAATAGAATGTATCAAGAAAACAAAAGCTGCTCGAACTAGTCAATAAATTTAGTAGGTTGCAGCATGCAAGATTGCTATATGGATTTCTATAGAGTAGTGATAAACTATTGAAAATTAAAATAAAAATTTTTACAATAGCATTAACAAACAGCTAGTAATACATATGAAAAAAAAATTATAAAAACCTGAAAACTACAAAACATTGTTAAGAGAAATTAACAAAAACCTAAATAAATAGAGTTATGCCTTACTTATGCTTTAGAAGGCTTGATATTAAGATGCCATCTCTCCTCAAATTGATAAATTATATCTAATCCAACTATAAGTCCTGCAGATATTTTCTAGAAATTGACATGCTAATCCAAAACATATGTGGAAAACAAAGGATCTAAAATAGCAAAAACAACTACCTTATTTTAAGACATTGTAACTTTACAGCTATTAAGACAATGTGGTTTTCAAAAATAATAAAGACATACATCAGTAATACAGAAAAGAAATAGAGAAATACATCTGTAATACAGAAAAAGCCAGCATGTATATGGATAACTAATTCTGACAGAAGTGCATAGGCTATTCAAACATATAAATTTTTTAACAGATGATACTTCAACAACTGAACATGCATATGCAAAAAAAGAACTTCCATCCATATATATTTATATACATATATTATATATATATATATTAGCCAAAAATAAATTATAGTCCTGAATATAAAATCTAAAATTATAAGAGATCTAAAAAAATAAATGGGAAAAAAATATTTACAACCTTTGGTGAGGCAAAGATTTATTAGCATAATGACTCTAAAAGCATGATCCGTTAAAAAGAATGATAAATTAAAATTAATCAAAGTATAAAACTTTTATTTTTCAAGTGACGCTATTAAGACAAAGAAAAGATAAGACATAAACTGTGAAAGATTTTGCCATGCTGTTTTGATTACTATAACCTTGTGTTATAATTTGATATAATAGATGAACCCAGAGGGTAGTATGCTAAGTGAAATAAGTCAGACAGAGAAAGACAAATAGCATATGATCTTAGTTACATATGTAATCTAAAAAACAAAATACATGAATGAACAATCAAGACAGAAACAAACTCATAGATACAGGGAATAAATTGGCGGTTGGCAGATGGAAGGAGGGTTGAAGAGATGAATAAAATGCTAAAAGGAATTAAGAAGTACAAATTTTCAATTATAAATATAGTCATCAGGATGTAAACTACAGAATAAGGAATATAGGTAATAATACTGTAATAACTATGTATGGTGTCAGATGGGTACTAGGCTTTTTGGAGTGATCACTTTATAAGGTATATAAATGTCCAATCACTATGTTGTACACCTGAAATTAATATGATATTGTATGTCAAGTGTAGTTGGAAAACAATTTAAATAAATAAATAAATGTTAAAATATAATTTTAAATTGATTTAATTAACTTATGTTACTAAAAGAGAAAAAATATAGAACTGCCATAAGATTGAGATTTTCAAACCAAAGAGGGAAGGCAGGGGAGGGTGGAGGGGGGAAAGAAATCAACCAATGAACTCATATTCATATATGCATAACTCATTGACACAGGTGGCAGTGGTGAAGGCTTTGGGGGGGGGGGGACGGGGAGAGGAGAGGGCAACGGGGGGATAAAGGGGAGATGTATGTAATACTTTCAACAGTAAAGATTTATTTAAAAATAATGAAAACACTCAGAAAGATATCTACACTCCCATGTACATAAGTAGATCCCAAAATTCTTCATTTCTAATAAGTTTCCAGGTGTTTCCAATTCTGTTGATTTGTAAATTGACTTTGAAGAGCAAGAATTATAAAATATTGAAAAGTATAGAAAAAAAAATCTTACCACACAAGTATAATTTCTCATCTCTTTGGAATAAAGATATGTATTTCTTTTTTTAATATTATTATTTTAAAATTGGTATCATGGTGTATGCTTTTGTATTCACTTAAAAGTAAGTTGATAGGCCCTGACAGGTTTGGCTCAGTGGATAGAGCGTCGGCCTGCGGACTGAAGGGTCCCAGGTTCGATTCCGGTCAAGGGCATGTACCTTGGTTGTGGGCACATCCCCAGTGGGGGGTGTGCAGGAGGCAGCTGATTGATGTTTCTCTCTCATCGATGCTTCTCCCTCTCTATCCTTTCCCTTCCTCTCTGTAAAAAAAAATCAATAAAATATATTTTTAAAAATTAATTAAAAGTAAGTTGATAGGATTTCTGGTGCCAGCCAAGATGGGGCAAAACCACCACAGCCTACCTCTCCTACTAGTTACTGCTTCTGATTATAATGTTTTAGGAACAAGAGGAGAAAAATAGTAAAAGGAAGTTAAGTAGCAGCAAGTAGAGGGTGGGAGTGGACAGAATAAATACTATTTTTACTGCCACTGATTTCCCCCCCTATATTCAGTGCCACCAGATAATCGAATAGGTTACATTCAATTATCTGGTATGCATTTGCTGCTTACTCTCAAAAGGTGTCATTTCAATGCCCCTTATATTCCCTGGTAGTTTTCTGAATTCACACAGATGATGGAGAGCTGGTGGCTGCCCTGAGTTAAGCTCTCCAAACCAGGCAGAAGGAGGGCCCAAGCAGCATTCATAGTTCAAGTGTGCTTCTGAGTTAAGAAGTTTCTGTAGGCCAGGAGTTTACTTCTCTACTTCTGCTGATGCAGAAAAACATTAAACTCCGTCTACAATTATGCAAGGCTTTTTTTTAAATCCTCACCTGAGGACATATTTCCATTGATTTTTAGAGAGAGTGGAAGAGAGAGGGAAAGACAGAGAGAAATATTGATGTGAAATAAACACATCAAGTGGTTGCCTCAAGTACGTGCCCCGAACAGGGCTCTGGCCGTGGAGGAGCCTGAAACAGAGGTACATGCCCTTGACCGGGATCCAACCAAAATCCTTCAGTCCACAGGCCAACGCTCTATCTACTGAGCCCTACCATCTATAGCTGCATAGGCTTTTATAGGGTACAATAGGTTCAACTAAGAATCATACTGACCCCCAAGAAATCTCATTCCACTGGTTAGAGTTCAATGTGAAACAGAAAAGTGAAATCCATTAAATTATACTTTTTCATCTCTATGTTAAACATTTTTAGCATAAGTTCACAAATACTGCACCTTGCAAGCCTAATCAGCATCTTTATTTGGAGAGCAGAAAGCTTTGTCATCATAAATTACACTCTATTGTGTTATATGGTAATGCACCATTAAGGCATAATTTTGAGGAACTTTCACCTTGAACCTATAAATAGCATCATGTTTCAAAATAATAATTCATATTCATTTAGAAAATTCATTTCTTGACACAGTCACTTAATCTCACATGTGTCCTCATAGACAGACAATTAAATTGGTGATGCCACATAGACTTGAAATTACGTGTTGAGAATTTAGTCTTGAATCATATGACTTTTTCATCTTTGAACTTCACTGATGGCTTATCGGTGGAAGTACTGGAACTAGTCAGGGAATACAAAAATACTCAGCTTTATAAATCAAACAACATATTTCCAATACCCAGATGCTCAATATAAAATCAAACAATTTAAAATTCAAGCAAACAGGAGGCTTCCCAAACACCCCAGATGACTGCCTCACTGACA